TAACAATAACATACACCATACAGAAAGCTACAGATCACAATAACAAATGCATTTACCACCGTTAAAACAAAAACACAAATTTGAATTAATATTTAAGCCAAATTTGATGTGTGGCCAAGAAAAACGTTTCATACTCAACATTTAATAAATCATAGATCAGCCTGCCTCAAGATTAWATAGATTATATGTTTATCATCCAGCCCCACTGCTCAGCATTGTTAATATGATCACTGTATATTGAGATTTTCTCTGGCATAACTAGATAATAATCTCATTTAATATAATGCCATACTATAGTAATTATTGCATTATATTAGTGCACAACAGTATAACCTTACCTCTATTTTGCGTGTCCAGTTTGCAATTTTTGGCAACAATCCCAGCATTTGAGCAGGTAAAGTTTCTGGACAGGTTTGTCCTTTTTTGGATTAGAAGTTGGTACCTCATGCACCAAAATAAACATTTTAATACATGCAACAATCAAAACTTTAGACATTTATAAGCTGTTCCATCATTTACTTTTCTTTTGTTTGCCCCCAAACAATCAAACCATTGCGCGCCGCTTCCGGTAGGCAGCACTAAACGGTATCCACGAAATAGTCCATTGCCTGTGTGTGTATTTGTCTTTCTGTTAGCAAAATATCTCACAAACCATTGGATGGATTTAAAAGAAATCTTTCTACAACTAATTAAGTTTTGTAGTCAGTCTGATCCAAAAAGGCCACCACACAATAATCTGCTTTAACTCAGTCAGTTTTACAGATTAAAATTTGGTGTGATAGTAGCTGAGAGTCCTTCTCACTGAGTGATTGTGTAAGGCCTTTGTTTAAAATGTGAGCATGCAAGGAGAACTAAATGAAAGAAGTTGTCAGGTGCTGTTTTCTTGCACCTGTTTTCGAACATAACTTGTTAAAGATTTCTCCCCAGAGGCATCGCTGCCATCCAGAGTTAGCATCAAGATGTTAAAACAGGTGAGCTGGGGCTGTTTTGAGGTGGTTTTTTTTGAATGCCTCAAACACTTCTGCACACAGGAAAATCTTCAAGTCCTCTTGGCATCCTTTTGTCTCCTCTCCTCTTTCCGTTTCCTCCTCCTCCTCCTCCTCTCAGACAGCTCAGGGAGGGTGTAGTCTAGATGAAGAGTGGGCGAACAATGAGCGCCTGCAAAGCTGGCAAAGGTTTGTGCCAGCAGAGCCTGGCAGCCGCGAGCTGTCCACCCACTCCAGATCCTGCTCCTCTGTGATTATCCTACAGGCATAAACCCCACTTTTTTCTCTCTCTATTCAGATCGGTCTCAGGTGCTCCAGTTGGATCATTACTCACCTTTATACTTGTGTACACTGCCTGCATTTCTTAATTCTGTGAAACGAACCAGCAGATTTAAATCGGGCTCACTAAGGAATTATTGACTTTACCTCAATTTGTTTTGCATTAGGGCGATGAAATGTTGCAATAGGGCTAGAGATGATCTACTGTTGCTTTACTTTTAGAATTAACCAAGATAACTCACAGTGGAGTTCTGTAATAAAGTTAATATTTTTACAGTTTAGCTAAGAGGAAAATAAATTGATAAATCCTGTTTGTGCATGCATGCTTTTGTCTGTAGCATTAGCAAAACGACATGAATCATAACGTGCCACATCTTTGCTAAACCTTCAAAATAAGAGTCATCCCTGCCTGGTTGTTATCAAAAGTTCTCTTTAACCAATGGACARGTTTTAATGAAACTCTTAAAAAAAAGAAATATTAATTTAACGAAGACAGAAATACGTGGTCCAAGAATGAAGGTACTTCATGGAACGATCAGCTGAGTTTTATTGAAACAACAGGAACACAGAGAACAACATCAGACTGTCCCCCTTCTCCTGTTTCCATCACTGAAGCAGTTGAGGCCTCATACTGTATATACTGTTTAATAAATGCTATTATGTCATCTTAATAAAGCAAGATTTCATCCTGAGGAAATGCTGGATCAAGGGAAAACACAAAGATAAACACAAGTGATATCTAAGAATGATTGTTGTTATCAAATCTTGTTCTGACTTTAATCACTCTGTCTGCTGATAAACAGCATGTCATGAAAACTTAGGTCATTAAAGTATATCAAACCTAAAAGCATCAGTTCCATCACATATTCACTGGCTTTCCTGGAGCGAGACTGGCAACTGGTGGCCCGTGGGCCTTGTCCGGCCTTCGGGTGACTTCTTTTTGGCCCACCAATGTAATTTTTTTTCTTTTCTTTTTGGGAGGTAAACTATCTTTTCACAGAATTTCAAGGCAAACTTGTGTGTTCAGTCTGCTCAGAGATGCCGTCTGCCATGAAGGATTTTAATAAAAATCAGCGCTACAACACGTTGCACAAAGCTAAATATGAGAAGTCACAAGTACACAAACAAGAGCAACTTTTTACCAAAAACCACAACCACGCAGGAGTCTGATCTCAAGGCATCTTATGCTGTTTCACTTGAGATCTTTAAAGTAAGCTTGTTCATTTTGTGTTTGCTTTCGAAAGTTTTATTTATTAAACAAGAGAACAACTGTTTTGAGTACATTTAAGCATGAAATCTGTTGCATTACTGCACTATATGTATGGAACATGCTTCATCTGTATGCAACTGTTCAATACAGCGCAAAGTGTTCAATATGCACTACGTGTCAAATAACAGATTTTAAAAAATGTATTTTATCAACTTGTCTTCAGTCGATGTGCTGTTTTGAAGGCTCAGTGAATCTGAGTTTGACTACTCCACCTGAAAACTTGCTGTTTCAGTAATACTTAATGCATAAACCGTATTTTTGAGGTTAAACAAATGTTCGTAATTAATTTCAATAAGTTACAAGTTTAAGAAGGGCATGAAAATTTCACTTTTTTGAATTGAAAAAATATCAAACTGTGACACAAAAGTATTGAACCGAACCAAAATGTAAATGTTCTTTATCACTGCACCCCTAATAAATTGCTATGTGGCCTTCTGGTAGTGTCAACAAAAATTATGGCCTCCTCCATCATTTAAGTTGTCCATCTCTGATCTAGGGTCAACCCAACTCAAGAGGGTCACTACTTTAACTKCTATTTGGCCTCAATCTGAAACAATAAATGCCTGTAACTCAGTCAGTTTTAAAGATCTTGAGCTAAAAATTGATGTGGTGACAGTTGAATCAACTTCAACACATATTCTGCGTCACATCTTGCTTGAACTTGGAGTGTTGCATGAGATCGTGYAAAAACATTATTTTGAAGATTTGCCCAAAGCAGCTGTGGCACCATCCCTTCTCAACTTTAAGATGAGTTAAAAATTCTGGCATGAAAAGTGACGGCTAATGTGCATTCCTTCTAGGAACACTATGGTTTTAATCATAAACTGCTTTCAGTTTCAGACTCGCTTTGGGCTTTGTTGCTGTATTGTTTAAAAAAATGTTTTTATTTAATTTTTTTCAACTGGGCTTTTATAAGCTGCTGTAATCATTAGTCACTGGAAAAAGACAGAATAGACAATGCTGATGTGATGAGCAGTGACACTCAGGGCATCGCTCCATCCTTGTGTTGGAACATGCCTCGATCCTCCACCGACAGCTTGTTTGGATAAATCTCAGCTTGTTGTTGGTGCAAAGTAGTGCAGAGTTCTCAAACGTATCAGCTGTACAGGAAAAGTCTCGAGGCAGTGAGCAGATRTGGGGTGCCRTTTGTAAAGCAACTTGTGCATAAAAATACCAGCTAAATGTTGTCACATTTAACTTCAAACACTGTTTGAGAAAGTAGAGTAGATTTTCTAAATCACCTTTTAACATATTTAAGTTGTTATGTCTAAATGTTACAGTTAAATG